TAATTGCAGTTGCTCATATATACAATCGGTCCACTACTTGAAAATCGGTCCGTTACTACTACCAAAACAGCGCCCAAGGACTTACTACTAAAATAACTAACTAAAGGTAAAGTGAAAAACTAACTAAAGGCAAAACAATACAAATATTGTGGTAACAGTTTGGCCTATAATAGAGTATACACCTTTTTAAAAATGGAATATATGTTTCACCTTTATATGGTCTATGACGGGTTTTGTGTTTAGAAGTTTGGGCATTACATCCCCACCAGATCAATAGTCCAGTGCCCTTGAAAAACTCATCCAGTTATGACGAGTCGTAGTTTTATGTCTCTACGATTACGATTGCAGAGTTTGCAGTCGAAACAATGTCAGATTTGTTCACATTCAACATGTTTAAAACGATTCGGAGATATAATAAGATGCGGCGAGTCTTCAGTCTTTTATGTGTCGATAGATATGAGAAAGCTTCAGTCACGTGACTCATTCAAGATGGCGGAAAATGAACGGACGAGAAACAAGGCAGAATGTTTGAAATGTAAGCAAACTGTCTTGTTTATAATATGAGTAATCACGTTTTAAATAAGAAATATAGCAGCTGGACAATATTATTATTGGTACTGGCTTCCATCGTCCATGCTGTTGGATCCGTGCTCGTGTACCAAACAGGGTTACTAACCGAACATGTAGGATATTCAGACAACGTTTAAATTTATTTAACGTCATAATTATGCGTATTTCCTCTGAACTCCGTTTATCTTCCATGGCCACAGATACTAGAAAAGATATATGTGGTTTAACCTGCACTAAATTACGTTTGTTTGTTTGTTTGTCACAGTATTTATGTCAATTTATTGTTAATTCGTATGTAAGCCACACGATATGACACAACTGAATACAATTTATATTTTATTTCTTTACTTTTACTTATTTGTCGTTTGTTCGTTGTTATGGCTATCAAAATCTAGTAATATGGTTTCACATCTCAGTTACAAATACTTCTTCCGGGTAATCATTACGTCAACTATTATTATCTAATAAAATATCCAATCTAAGTAAAATTGAATTGTAAGAAACATTCAGTCACGAAAAAGAAACAGCAAAGTAATCCATAGTTTGTCTTTGGAAATATTTTATTTACTAAACTAAAACTAAAAAGTTTTATGTTCAAAATAATTTTATTTTCTCACACTTTGAGTTTGATCGCAATACATTTCTCAGGAATGTCGCAAGATTTGTATTTAGCAGAGATCAATAGATCAAATCATGTTTTACAGCAGGGTTTCGCAATCAAATAGTGATTACGTGATATGTCTATTTATTTGTTACCTTTGGTTTTGGTTAATACGCGGGCGACAATGATCCGCCATGACGTCACATTCGCTTAGAATACCGTATAAGATACACTATGTAGTAATGGTACATTTAGACGAATTACATTACGTAAACCAAGGTTGAATCCGTATATTGGATATACTATAGCAGTTAATGCTTTTACAAATGTACAACAAGACGATTTGTGTTTTAATTATATTAAATTTACCTTATTAAAATATAACTATATTTATTATTATTGTTATATTGCAGAAGCAGATTTATTCCTGTCCAGTACTGGCTCCAATTGGTCGGATTTTGTAACGTTCTTTCGCAGTGCGATGAACAAGCCTTCATTCCGTGTCAAGACCTTACCTGGTGTCGAACAAGCAACCCCGGATATTAATATATAAGGTATCACACTGCCTGCTACGTCTGCAGAATTGAACTGAACAATAATACGAGTCAAATTGTATATGCAATATGTATTATACAATCCCTGTATAATCATGTAACATATAAAGTAAAATGCATACTTTGAATACATTTTCAGTATTGTATTTCAATATTACGAACGCCGCACACTCACACCTAAATGGAAAATCTTTAAATACCGATCTTTTCTGAAGGGGTTTGGACTATGTTTATTATCAATATATGACTTTTCAGAAATCACGTACATCATGTTACTTGTTGTAGGCAGTTAAATATTAAATCGATCTATCTATCCAATACACCAATTTTGGCAAGTAAATTTTAAATACCACAAGTTCTTGAAGAATTTGTATTTATTTCGCTCAATGTTTGTGACAGCGGCGTAACGACAGTATGTTACTAAAATAATAATACATGATGCATTGACCCAGAATATATACACACAGAATATATACACACAGAATATATACACACGCATACAAAGTAAACAATTGTGAATTGATAACGAGTACTACATCGCATGCATAAATAATGATGCTACATACAAAGTGACATGATTATCAGAACGTACATTTATCACACGCGTAGATTGCCAAACTATTGAGCCTCATTTAAAAAATATTATTGATGAATAAATGGTTGATTTATTTATTTATTGAGAATAAAACGAATCGGTCTTGTTTGAGACGCTATAATTGTCTTTACTTAGCTGGCGGTGCAGCCTGCCTCCATTGTATTTGAACGACGCAGTACGAATATTATAGCTGTGTTGTTTTGTAGAGAAAAGCACAAGGGAAGATATTCTTCTGAAAAAGGAAACACATGTTTATACAAGATCACGTGTGAACGAATTATAAAATGTTAATATATTCCTACCTATCTGCCCCTCACAAATAATGGTTCAGTCCACACGTATCATCTTGCCACTCTATACGCTGGTATATGTACATGTAGACGATGGCGCAGTCGAAGCTCTTCTTTCTCTTAGTTATTGTTTCTATGTGTAGTTTTTTTATTTACATCTCATTTGGAGAACATCAATTCTTGCGAGATCATCCTAAAATGAAAACACAGAAGGTACGTAATTGTCTTTACTAAACACGGCAGTCACATTCACATAGAACTTAAATCTGCAATACAGTGAACTTAATATGAATTTATTTATTGAGTTACATGGACATTGAATACTCATAACTAAGTAACTTTCCCTTCCTGTCATCTTGACGCGGATTATTTGAAAATTGAATATCAAAGGGTTCATTCAATATTGGTGACTGAATTAGAGCGGCAGCCCAGAGCATTTTGATCAAACGAACGAGGTACCAATATCTGAACACATGAGCATTCGTGGTGTAACCTAACATATGCAAATATGGATGTCTGCCGGGGACCACCTGCTGCGTGTGGCCCCTGGGGGGCCTCTAAGAGGGGCCAAAAATGCACTCGATTAAACATTGGAGGTACCACCCCAAACCAATTTAAATAACAAGTACATCAACAGAGTATAAAATGGCTCCTGCCAGACAAATTTTTCGCTGCATTAGGCCCGACAGACGCCCAAAAAGGACCCCTCCAAGATTTGGGCTAGATCAAACATTGGAGGTACCACATGAAACCAATTTCAAAAGAATGAGTACATACCACAGAGCTCAGAATGTTCAATGCAAGACAAATTATTCGCTGCATAGGGCCTGCCAGACAGTCTCCAAATGTGACCCCTACGCCTACTATCTTAGATTTGACCAAGAGTAATTATTGAAAGTACCACTTGAAAATATTTTTTAATATTATGACACATCCCATAGAGTACAAAGAACCCCATGCCTGTCAAATTTTCTGCTGCTTATATCCAACTAGAGTTCCCCAATAGGGTATAAAAATCACATAAATGATTGTGAATGACATCGTAATGTGAACCGTGGTTACTGAACGCGTCAGCCAATCAGAAAAGTTAC